GTGTGAGATTCTTGTGCGCTATTGCGATCGCCGCGATCTAACCGATACTTGAGTGTGACTTTCGAGTTACCATTAAATATGAGGGCTGAGTCATTCCTGAACAACTCCGAAAGACTATTCAGTACGTAGTTGTCTTGCTGGCTGTCCTTCGAGGGTTTTTCAGCTGCTCTTCACCTTTCTATTCGCGCTGAAAAAAATTCCCGTGTGGAATGAAGCTACGAATCGAAGTCGAATACATGGCTTGCACTAAAGTCAAAACCTTCTAACCGAAGTTCTACGGAACCCTGAAAATGGTAGGGTTTCAGGTACCGTTTCAAAAATCAATTAGTCGATCAGAGGCCAGTTCGGCGTGGATGGGGGCATTTTTCACGTTTTTCCAAAACTTCATATCGACGTGTTGACCCATTCTTAGAGAGCCTGTTTCTTAAGTACACAGGACGCATCATTGTTGAGATTGTAAGTCGAGTTCCGGACGAACCCCGCCTTTTTTTTCTGGGGTGGGGGTGGTAACGACCTCCGTGTCTTGTCCCTCTCCTCATACGAATGAGCCCGTCCTCCGAGCGGAAGGGGGGGTGATCTCAAAAAACTCCAAAAATTAAGTATTAATAAAAAAAATAAATTTTCCTCAGCCAAAATCTACGAACCCTCCCCCTCTCCTGGTTCGGCCTAAATACACCCGCTGTTGTGGATTCCGCAACAAAAGTGCTCTGCGTTACAGTTTTACTATTGTGGCTGGACGATGCTTTAATCTACGGTTTCAACTAATGGTGCCGGTGAACTTCAACAAGTGTTCAGTAGGTTTCATCAGAATCGACACTTGTATCACCGAAACTAAGTTGAATGCCCCCCTCCCCCTCCCCCATCCTCGGAATCGCCACAGGATGGGTTCTATTTTCGACGAAATTGCCTGTCTTTTCTCACTTGATTAGAGTGGGATCAAATTGCTCTTCTCTTGTGCGCAGAACGTACTGAATGATTTGATCTATGACATAACGCATTACAAGCGCTTAGTTTGAGTTTATTGCGTATCGTAGAACTTCGTAATTGTGGAGTTCCCGTGTGTCCCTCATTTAGATTTGCGCCGAACCGGCGAGATCACCAGCTGAATCTCAGCAGCATCGTGGTATGTATGTTACAAGAGTTGCTGCATACTGGCCACGGAATGTGCTGATACCGCCCCCCCCCAAATAATTTTTCTTCTAACCACTGGGTATCTGTGGCTTCTCCCGAGATATTGCAGATAAATAACAAACTATGGTTAAGTTTTCGTCTGGTATTGACCCCGCTGCGCTGGTCCTCAGTTCTTAACATAGAAAAATGAGGATTGTTTTAAGCAATTTTTGCCTGTAAACTGAGGAGGCGTGTGTGGCCTTCAAACTGCCAAATCTATTTTCACACTCTTCTTTAACGACAAACGTGTCTTCGGACAAAACGTTCATATAAAAAATCTCAGCTCACTTGTGATGAGTGTCATCTTCACCAGTTCTCTTGGTGAAAGTCAAGACTTCCCTCTCCGCCACCCACTGACAGAATCGTACACTCTGGCTTCCGGTTCCCACCCTTTTTTATCCGCTGAAGTCATCGTCAAGTGAATGCTTTCTTTCGGCAGCACTGCTAATGGCTGTAGCCGTGGCGATCATTTTAAGGTTTGCATGTCCCATGACCAAATATTTTTTTGAGAAAAAGTCAAAAACCCGCACTTCGTAGGAGAAGACGACGGCTGATCTACTCAAAGGAATCGGTCATAGCCAGGATCTATATTGCTATCTGCTTCCCTTTATATGCTGTGCAGCAGAAAATGCTCTCAAGAAAGCGACTCCAGGGCACATCAAAAATATGGTCCATATGTACTGACGCCCTTTCCCCCCCCCCTTCACCTCTAAGAGATGGGTTGATGCGACCTGCTCATCTCTCCTCCCCGTTATCCCTATCCAGTGCATCGAGCCTCACCTCATGTCGGAAAGTACATACAAACTAGGAACAAAATAAAAATCACCTCTATTAAAAAATTTTCCTCCGGACCGAATGCACTCCCCATCGCCCTGCCTTCCACACGACTCAAATAAGATTCCAAACTGTTTGGGAAAATTATGCCTTAAAGCGACTCCCCTGAACGTTCGAACACTAATCGGAGCTGTTCTAAGATTTCTTCTAATACTTTATTAAAGTTTTATCAGGACAAGGAGCCCTTTCTAGCAGTCTCATTCTCAGAAGCCTATTTGATCTTAACTAACTGTTCACTTGTCCCAGATGTTCCTACCCTGCATGAGATGCAAACTTCCGATGCTCACAGCTTACCTATAGCGATTACTCAGAAAAGAGCAAGAAAAGCCTCCATGTTTTAAACCATTAAAAATTCCGGACAGTTTTGCTCTTAAGAGACAAGGGCATACGAATCGAATCTGTGAACATGCAAGCATCGCCAAGCAGTGACATTTTTGAAAAGGAGACTCTCGCAGAATCGCTGCAACAGCCTATGGCATGCGTTTTCACACCCGCCAACACCCCCAACCTACTTCGCATACTACGCCTCAGTATTTTCGCTTGAAATTTTCCTGTGGGAGGAGGGGGGTATACTTCTCTGTCAAATAGGATGAGAGGGTGTACACCAGTTGGAGAAACGCAAATGGAAAGGGAAAAATTACCGGTCAAAATATTTATGTCAATGGCAAATGTGACCCTTCCTCTCCAGCAACCGAATACGGCTTCCCCGACAGGATCCTCTTAGTTGTGATGTCCACTGTTCAAAGGATGTGTACTAGAGCAATGAACTAGATAAAATGGTAGCTGAAAAAGGTTGATTAGAATTAAAAATCAGATAAATATACAATCATAATTAAATATGATAAAACAATGTATATATTATGATTAATAAAAATTAAGAGTCAAATCAAAATATCTTAAAAAATAAATTATTGTCACATGGAAACTGTGAGTGAAGTCTTTTTTTCAAGAGAGCCAGTTAAGTAGCAAACAAACTAACGTTTTAGGCGTCTCGTTATAAAGGGATATGGAAATCGTAATGGGTGTAGAGGTGTTTTTGGACCCATCCTGTTTTGAGATCGTTATCTATCCTATTGTGTAGATTTATGGTTGCATTGGCAAATAAGTCCATCTTCCTCCTTGAGTTCAGATCCTACTAAAAACTCTCCTGCTTACGGTCACTTAGAGTGGAGGAATATATTTCTCACCACCCCGGTAATTTATTTTCTGCTAATCTTAGCTTTTCGATTCAAAAGAGATTTTACTTCTTTTGTGGAAAATTCTCACAAAAAAAACTAATTTTTTCCTATTTACTAGCGCAATCGAATATGCCTTCCAAAGGGAAGCGCTTGTAGAGCGAGTTTTCTCGAGCGCTGTCGATTCTCAAGTGTAATAAAGCCGAAGCGTATGTTAAACATGAAGGACACTGAGAAAAGGGGTGCTTTGAATGACGGTAAAAAGGCATGGAGGACTTTCAGTTCTTCAGATCTATTACTGTGTAAATTTACTTCAAGAATACATGTGGGAGAAGGATACGCAGTCATCTCCAAAGTCATTCAAAGGGGTCGTGGTAGAAATTGCACCGTTCTAAATCGTGTTCCGAGTGAGAGTTGAGGAATGTGGTAGTGAGCGATGAATGAGGTCATTAAAAGCAAACAAATGAGGAGAGAGAACGGTGTTCGAAAAAAAAACTATTAATGCAAAGCAAAGTGATTCATGAAGGTGAAATAATTAGAGAATGGTGTTTCTTTCCAGTTGAAAGGAAAGGCATGCATGCAATAAGCCTGCGGGCGGAGCTATATCGACAACGGAAACGAACTGCATTGGCACGTAGACGGTGACGGTCTGCGAAACGCGTAGATCGAGTGTGATCCTACACACACACCCCGAAGAACTCGTTCTAGTGGAGGAAAGGGCTGTCTTTCACGATTCACGAGGAACGATAGGACGATGTCCGGGGATGACGGGGAGCTTTTACTACCGTCATGGACTGGAAACCCAGCTGAATTGTTAAGCGTAAACTGGATAGCGACTGAACTCAAACAAAATGCGTCATGTGTTTGGGTTCCATATTAGATTTGTTAGAGTGTTTTAGCTTGGGGGAAGGGCATTGGACTCAAAATAGGGATTATGGAGATTGAGACCTAGAAGCTCAGAGGGAGAAGGAACTCCTGTTCAGGTGTCACTCTCCGGTGCACTAATCCCATCTTTATTGACAGTGTGGTCCCAGTTTTTCCAGGCAGCTCTTCAAATGGCCCACTTCTACTGGTTATCTGCGCCTGCGTATTCAGCCTAGACAACTTTAGATTTTTTTATTCCATGTTTCATTCAGCAATTTGTCCTTCTAGATAAGTGTGGGGGCCATTCCATCAAGTCCTGAATATTGGAAGATTTGGCTGGCCTACTCACAATCAGTGTTGAGTTCCAGGCCCCTGCAAAGCTAGACGACTTTAGACGCATCCCACCTCAAATTTTGATTACGGATGAAGCACCTCGCATTCAGCGGTTATACGCTGCGAATTCTGCTTCCATCCAGAATCGTAGTGGCATTTGGAAGCCTGCACAATGACTTGCGACAGCCATACGGTATAATGGCAGCCGGCTGACCGCCGTAGATTGGCGTTTTTATCCTTCAAGATAAGTATTATACCAGTTAACGACCTAGGAAGCTATGCCATTGAAGGCTTGATGACAGTGGAGGGAGCTAATCCGAAGTTCTGATTTCCGAACCGCGCGTACGGGGGGGGGGGGAGGCGGTATCATTTGCTACTTGACCACGCCGCTCAAATTTAATGTTTTACTTGACATAAAGTTGTGAAGAGGAAGTGCCTGGCAGTACTGGAAGTTGGCAAACTTGTTAATTGTGAAGAATACTCAAAATAGTGCAGAGCTATCGATTTTCTTTGCGCACTGAAAAACATAGTGCGATAAATGCTGCATTGGCTAATTAGCATCTGCCAGCTATAATTTTGGTGTGGTTGAAAAAAGCTGCAGTTGAACAAAAGTCATGAGAGGAAATGGAAACGTTCAGATTCCAACTATCTTTGGATCAGATGCGGATGGTGGCTGATGAAGGTGTCCGTCTTGCGAATCTCTGCAGTACTCGGATGGGTCGAGCGCAACAAGTCAGTTCGAGAAATTCTTGTTGCTTTTACAATCCGAAGCTGATTTTGTCTTCTCAGTAGTGCACCATATTGATTTCCAATGGAAAGTATTTCAGATGTGTAAAGAACGAGCTGACGCCGTAATGGCTATCGATTCGTTCCTGAGAAACACATCCGATATGGATCGAAAGATTAAAGACCTTAATAGACAGGTAACGAGTCTTAACGCATGCGATTCGCGCACTTATACCATGGTAGAGATGGGCGCTTGTGATCCACGCACCATGGTAGGGACGTATTCAGTCTAAATTCTCTCGGCATGACCCTCATCATAAGTGTAAGATATCAGGCGGCTACCTTCATGTACTTAAAGAACTGACTCTTTCCCAGAATTCGACCTATATTGTTGAGTCACTCCAAATGTAACAATCAGTTAAATTACTAGGATAAAGGCTTCGCTCGCCATTAATCATTCTCTTTTTGGATTGCGGCACGCAATCTATTTCCATCCAGGACACCAGCGGCGACTCGTGGAATGCGATGTGACCTGTAAATGACTTGCGGGCCAGCCGATATATAACTCAGTGTTCTTATCCCCTCAGACGAATCTGGAACCAATTTATTGTTCTCGGAGGGCAGAGGGCTTGGTTGACGCTGGCGGATGCCGAACCGGGATTTGATCCCCGGACTGTGCGCTGGGAAGCGTACCACTTGCTACTACACCACCTCCGCCCCAACAACGGTTAGAACTGTTGTTGAGGCGGAGGTGGTGTAGTAGCAAATGGCAAACTCACTGTGAGGACATTGCTGTCAACATCGTGGTTGGTCAAGTACGTACATGGCACATGCTCGTATGAAAACATTTTTAGCGTTCGGGAGTACTTTTTTGGTGTGCGTCACGCGTTCTACTTCCATTAGGTCTCATAGTGCCATCTAGAATGCGATCTGGCTTACACAATGACCCTGGAAGGCGGCCCACGCATAACTCATGGTTTCCGTCCTCCTAAGAGAAGTCTAGCACCAACTACCCAACCCCGAAGGGATGTAACTCGCTATCGGATGGGACCGAAGTCATCTTGAGGTGTGTCTTCAGACTAAGGCGCATGAGCAATGGCGCTACTTGCCACAGCACCACCTACTCCATTTTTAGCTGCATTTGAAAAAAAACTACATGGATCTAGAGTGACATATCATTCAAATCCTTTAGTGAGTATAGCCTTGTGGAACATTTTAAAGGTGGATAAGCTCGTACGATTCTGCAATCAAGCGGAACAGGCAATGACGCACTTGGAAGCATTGGCCACTGTGGTCAGAACCGAAGAAGAGGTGAGTTCGAGTTCATTTCATTTCGTATTCTGATTTGCTACTCACCATCAGATGTGATTTTGTGACTGGGATCTAGGTTGATGGTTTTTATGAGAAACGAAGCACCTTCCTCAGCTCTCAGGTGAGGAACAAATGTGCTCCCTTCAGTACATGAAAATGAGTTTGAGATGTGACAGCCGGGTTGAAATGGGTTATAATTACACTCTAGGCTCTCAAAATAAAAGATCTCTCCAATATGTTTTGTGTGACATTGTTTTCTCGATCTTTATTAGGCAGGTATTCTTGAATTTTTAGTTAGTTTGTTGATCGTGCAGCTGAAATGTCGTATAGCCGCGTTTGGAGCGGTGCCAGTCTTTTCTTCTCTTTTTCGGCAAGCGACAGGACTGCATTATATAGTTTGTATCAGTTTTCCCCAGTTTTTGTCCCTTGCCTGCTCAAACGACTAGTAGAAAGTGGATTTGATGGCGTGCCAAACGCAGTCGCGCGGACGCGCCTCGTCGTCCGCGTCGAAACAGGCTGTAAGTAGGAATGTGAAGAAAATTCAGAAAATCGGTATGATCAAGGCGTCGCATCAGCTGTTGCTCGCTTTGCGAATCAAAACATACCATCCCCATGAGAACAAATGTTCTTTGTTTTTCCTCAGCGAATGCTTTGCTTCTTGTTCGGTTTACCTACTGAAGGTAAGCCTCCTAACTCTTATGAAGAAGGTTTGATCATGCATCTTGCTTGCCCTTTTCTTCTTTAATGTGCAGTACTAAAGCGGGCTTTTTCTTACTCTATTGTCCATACTTTTTCCATTAGATCTCATTCTTGGAGCAGTTTTTTCTGTCTACTCCTAATAGAATCATTATCACTATTCATTGGTCTTTCTATACTTTAAAAATCCATGCTCTGACTCGAGAGGGCATTTTTTTCAATACGAGTTCTCTGTTGATACAGGGAGACGGCAAGAGAATCGTAAAATGCCGCTTCGTCGCGCCGCGGCAACGGGCGCGACGTTCCTTGAATTTGCACACCCACCCTTTCGATTTGAGCATCTAATTCATGTAGCAAGGACATGGTGGTTTAGTCATACATTGTCAATTTTCGACCGATACCATCTAAAATGGGCCGTCATTAGGGGACGCGACGACACATGCGGACCCTATTTGGCGCGGCGAATTACATTCTCTTGTCACATACCCATTGATAGCAGCCCAAAATATCCATCGGCGTGAGCGAAGAGGTCACGGAAGTACGACCCCTCACTTGGTCCGATACACTGTCCAGGAACATGTTTCGGACTGTCAATATCGACACTCTACACTGAATATCCCGTAAGGAGTGTGGGTTGCTCACTTTACTTTCATGCCATTGCCAACCCCAAAGGCGACAAGCTACCGCCTTCTCTACAGCTTCTCCATTTCGAAATGTTGAGAGTGGCCTAATAACCGAAAGGGCCGATATTATCTGCAATAAAACGAGAATTCTTACAACGACGCCTTTCTCACTTATGCACATATGAGTTGAGATGGGCAGGATCTATACATGGCATTTCAGGGCGTTTTTTCTTGTTTTTTATTACTCAGCAGGATCCTATACATTGGCATTTCAGGGCGTTTTTTCTTGTTTTTATTACTCACTTACTTATGGTTAGTACTGCTCGTTTCGTGTTTTGGGCTCCACTAGCCACTACGTCTGATCGCGGCCTTCGCTTTTGAGGTCGCAAACGTGGTATGAAGTAGAAGAAGTTATAATGATGTGTCATTTGATATCTGAAATTTCAGGTCGGACCTTAATCGACAACAAACACGTTCAGTGTCAATATACATTAATATGGAACAGTGGCGCATTAGTGCTTAACAGTGAGGCTAGTTGTGAACATACAGTTTCTGCTATATAATAAACATTCAGTACAAGTCGGTTTCACGAGGATGGCTGATCCACCTGTGGCTTTCAACCACTGGTTGTTTTCTTCCTAAATTGACCACTAGCCGACTGTCAATGGTAGAGCAAGCAGGGTACAGCATCGTTGTGTGAAACACATAGGGGGGGTCGTACTTGGCTGGGAGGGGGGCGTATGCGGCTTTGAGAGAAATTTGCCGGCACTGGAAAAAAAATCTCCAGTCGTTGACTCGCGGTTTTCCCGTTTTCACTTGACTATATATATCCACACGCGCCCCGCTCCGACGGAAACTTTTTGGGTGAAAAACTGGAAAATGTGGGGAAATTTTGGAAAGGCTGGTAGGAAACTGGGATTTGTAGAGAAGTGGTAGCCAGATGTTACGGGAAGGAGGGGGGGGAGTCGTACCAAGAACCTCTTATGGGCAAGAGGGTCGTACTGACACCACCATTTTATCAAACAAACTTACACAAACGATGCTCTACCGTGAGAGCAAGGCAACCGAGGCCGGGCTTATCCCGCCCTCCTGACATCGCCTCCAACCGAATGCAATGTGATCAACATAACTCTCCTCATCATTACGGACTGTCGGGGGGTATCAGCCCAGTAGGTGCGCACACTGTTTGAAGCCGTTCTCAATACTTTTCGTTGAAAACGCGTATGCAACAAAAAGTGGTAGAAGACGAGTAGTACGAAGGATATAATACAGTAATAATCCTGGTCAACGATTGGTGCAGAACGGGCGCGGACGACCGCGCCAAACGCCAGCCGCACTGACCCGCCCCCGACAGTCCGTAATGATGAGAAGAATACTTGCTCCAAACTTCGCATTTTAGCTTCGACATTGTATTGCTCTTTTTACAGAATCGCCTCTTAAGATTTCTCACACTTACCGTTTCCAATTTTTAGCGTCCATCCAGCAGAATGATGAGAATCGAGAGGAACGAATGGAAGAGGTTATGTGGAAGAGTTTCTTATGCAGGAAAGAACCCAGATTCACTCGATTAACTTCTGATTGACCTCTCCTGGTATGCAGCCAATGGGTCAGGTTCCAGGCGGTGTTCGTTTGAAATTGTAAATAGACGTTTTTTGAAACGTTGGTTTGCTTAAAACGAGCAAAAAATGCACTGCAGCTAAAGGAAAGATCGATATAATTGATTTCCTGTCCACGCGATTGTTCAGACTATGATATCGGTCTGAGGCCACGCTTTCGAACGCATTATTTATTCATTATTTTTTTTAGCGTTATTGTATAGCGTTTGCTAATGTGATACATATTCTTATTTATAAGTTTTCCTTCCTTCCACTACCATCGCGCTGTGGTGTTTGCTTTTCCGATAACAATATTAATCATTGGTACATATTGCGTGATACATGTGATAAGCTCTCATGGATGCATTTGTTGTTAGTATCTTATATTTTGTAAAGATATTATGTAAAGACATGCTCGGTATAAAATTCTAGTCATTGTCATTCAAAAACATCCTCCGAGGCCATTCAGAGAGTTTTCAACCTCCTCCCGGGGTCAAGCATTTGGTAGTAAATATTCTGACGGTGACTGGGTGAAAGCTGTTATATGACTCCTCCTCTTTGGTATAGGCCGAGTCGCACCTAAGAAGGCAATTATGGTAATCGACTGGGAATAGAAATGCATGGCCGAACGCGGTGTGTAGTTTGCACATTCGGGGCGCGGAAAAATAGGCCTAGCATTGCGGGCTCAGTGCACCGACCCTAGGACCCAGTTGACTTGAGGTAGCAGTTCTGCGCATGGAACAATGGGAATACATTGCTAGTCTGTGCTCGAAGTCGTATCGGCAATTCGTCGCTCATCATTAGAGTCCGTCTGTTCTCCGTACTACTATATGTAGTAGATATTTCCACAATCAGTTGAGGCGTGTAGGGCAGAATAAGCCCATATTCGGCCACCTTGATCTACCAAAAAGTAACCGCTGTGTGCCCTCGACTTTAGAAAATTAAAAAAAAGAACGCCCAGGAAGGAAGGTCCATCCACTTGAGTTGACATTTTTCGGTGTTCCACGCCTACTACTGCATTGCAGTTACCCTTGGGGAAAACTTTTTGTTTCCCTCACGTCACACTCCGGAAGAAAACAATGCCCAGAATTGGTTTATTGTAGTGGAGAAAATGACCGATTGTTTTCAACTTAGCGTGACATGTGTGTGGATAACGGCATGGGTGTGCGGCGCTACTTCCACAGTCCTAGCACAGCAACTTTTCCTGACTATTTCGACATGGAAGATACAAAGAGAGAGAGAGAGAGAGAGAGAGGGATCCGACGCGCCCTCCCCCCTCCTGTCGATTGGATCTGGTGCGGGTGCTGCGCACCTCACCACACTTGCGATATTCCCTTAACCGCACTCGCGCGACTCGGAATTAACGCTATACACCCTGATGGCACTCCCTAAAGGCCGTACTCAAACGTGCTGTATAACATTTTTCGAAATGTTCGGAATCAACCCTCCTACTTCTTATATTCTCTCGAGTGGCGCTTCCCATGAACTATCAGGATATACACACGTGAAACGGGAAGCGTACTTTCTATGACTGCTACCAATAATGAGAACTTTTTCCATGAGAAGTGAGCCACCTAATTACAAGCGTAGCGCATATGCTATTTCTCTTCAGAATGCCAGAAGAGAAAGAGCTTACATATGTCCCATCTGAACTTCCGTTAAAGGATCGTGTAATAATATGACAAGAGAATCGTAATTTGCCGCGCTGTGGTGCCGCGTGGCACGTGCACGCCGCAAATGACGATGGTTCCAGGTCATAGATGGCGACTTCGCGGCAGTTCGAACCGAAAGTAGTCATGAATGTCTACGATGATGGCGTCCACATGAAGTCCGGTGCTCCAATCGACAGGTTAACGCGAGTTAAGAAAACATCGCACCCATCTCCACGCGCGGCGGAGTGGCAAATTACGATTCTTTTGCCCGTCTCCCGGTGTGATTAGCGACGCGTACAACAAAGCTCTTTATCAAGCTACTTATTTAGTACACAGTCAATATAACTGTGAGTTTCTGGCACAAGAATAACGAATGGTAACACCGGTTAGGATCAAAGTACAGTATTTAACACGTTGGCGACATTGCGTCCCAATGTTGGGACGCAGCATGGGTAAAAAATCAATTCGAATCTGTTTCACATTTTCAACAGCCACATATTGTGCAGGAGGGCATTGTAGAATATATAGTAGCTGTAAACCATGCAGTTGCCTCATTGGGAGTATTTAACCGAGGAGACAAATGAAAGTGATTTCCTCAGGAAAAAAAGGTAATTTTTGGGTTTATAGAACTGAAGCTTCACATGCAGATAGCTAATGTAATAAGGTAACTTTCATTAATAGCGGATCTGGATCGAATCCAAGTCACCAGCTCTGGAGCGAAAGTATTCCCTTTTTGCGGCCTTGTTCCCACGCTCCGCGTGAATGTGCGTTAGTATTCCATGAAAATTTAGGGTTTATCAAATTGTTTTGGTGTGTAAGCGCCTTAGCGTTTATGCGCATTCTTCGAAAATAGGGAAAAACTGCTTGGTCCCATGCGGCAGACACGCGAAAAGGCCCCTTGTCGCCAATGTGTTAAGAACAATGAGTTACCACTATGGTTTCACGAAAAGAAAACGCCAGCACAAATTCATACAAATCAAGCAGGGAATATAGTGTATTTCATTCCGGTAGTTCACCGTCCGCTGTAAGTAATTAATCTTAGAGGCTCTACGCTCAAGAATGTGAAAGCCATTTCAATAGGAACTGAACATGAAACAAGGAATCAGCTTATATTGCTGAACATAACGAGTATGAATATGTACAAGAGACTGTCAAAGAAAATCTGAGCCCGGTTTTGAATGGGCACTATTAAGCTCCAACTTCAGAAACAGGGTACAGACATCTAAAATCAGAGGGACAGATAGTCAATGTTGTTTTCATGCATGATCTAAGTTGCGGAAATCAGAAGATTTCGAGGAATATTTCACTCATGTTGGACGAGAATTAGTATAGAGCAGTGAGTCTTATGAAGAAAAAGAGCAGTTTGAATTTAACGAGGATACTTTACTTTTCGGAGGCGAGCGATTAGCAAGAGTTAGTGAACGCTTGGAAAAAAGCATGCTCTCAGAGCGCGGTGGGTCAATATTGAGAGTTGAGACGGCTACTGGCTCAGAAAGTTTGAATACAGGTTGTCTATCACAGCGCCTGAACTGAAAGTCGAAATGAACTCAAATGAGGGGAACTGGAACCGGAACCGGAGATTATGGTGTATTTGACATGGCAAAACCCATTACATTCGGGATCAGTTCTAAGAAACGAAATTTTTTCAAAATAAAGTTAAACATTAAAAATGACGTCTTTCATGTCACTGTGAGATCTAACCTAAGAAAGTCACTGGCGAACTCTGGAGATGCTCTTTTGAACAAAGCTATAGAAGATGGTGGGCTTAATGTGACGCTGAGGAGATCAGAAAACCTTTTTACCACTTAAAGCACTTCACTACACCCGACTAAAGACTACACGCAATTCCTGATGACACTTGCAAGAAAATAGCAAAACAATTAGAAAAGCATCAGTCACGTAAATTCACAATGAATAGCCCAGTGATCAGATGGGAAGCAGAGTGTGCTTCTGATTCTTTGTTGACCAGCAAGGGAAAACTTGACTTTGGACAAAGGTCCGTACCAGAATATGCGGTCAAATCTAAATTAACATGAATGGGAAGCATAGGAAAAGCAGGCAAAAAACAAAAAAATCGTTAAAAAAGCCTCGTACCTATTCCTGGCTCCAAAACTGTGTTTATTATCATTCTTTCGCGTATCCCATGTGTACTGGGTGTCCTTGTTAGCACCGGCCGCTAACCAAGCGTCCGCAACGCCACGAGGAACATTAGCAACCTTGATTACACTCCTTTTGCGGATGAAAAATCACAGTGAAAAAGAGGATTCAACCTCTTCGTCCCTAATGTTCAGATCACCGCCGAAGAAAAGTAGGCAGTTTGGATGCTGGGAGATCAATTCTTGGATTTTGTTCATGCAAATTTGAAATTGTTCCTTCCTGAGAATATACATAAAATCGATTTGAAGTTAAGCAGTATCAACAATTTTGCTCGAATTACCTTGCTTTACTATGCTCTCGCATGCTTTCCAAATGAGTATTTAGAAGGAACACTCTTTGCACACCTATTTTTCCCTGAAAAAAGTTAGTTTCATAAGCATCATAGCGTTCTTATGCGGGATCAAAATAACGTCAAAATACCTCTAAAATCTGCAATGTTCGGCCCATACCAGAGTTTTCATAATGGATCACTTCGTGCCTGGAAAAGTTCGACATCACTGTTGGAAAAGTCAATGTAACCATGACAAAACTCACCTTTTAACCTCGAATACTTTGCTGACAAGTATTGCCGTATAATATAGGTAATCTTTATTCGAATAGAAAATATTGTACATTTTTGACAAGCGATCAATTGTTGGTAGTTCCCTGCTCACGACCTCTTGAAGAAACACAAAGTCGGGGTTCAATCTGAAATGAGTGACGACGTTCTTTGAAGCTTAGGTGCATGGACTTCTATGGCATCAAATTTTTTAGAATAATGAACGGCACTACAATAAACCTATGGACGGTCAAATAATCGTGCCCTTATGACCATTTGTTCTGGATTTTAAAGTATAAATAATTCCTGTAAGGACGTAACGGCTCAGTTGCCCATCTTTCGCTGAGCTAGAGTAGAGAACAAGAACAAGTTCAAACATTTCAATCACAGACGCCGAACTATGTGAAAAACCCAATTAAGTAAGAAAAACAGCAGTGTAAGACGGAAAAAGCAAAAACGAACCAAAAAATTGCTTAACTCACTGGTTGATAATTTTATAGACCGCTTTAAACCGTGTTGCGAGACTATTTCCATCTAGGCCATCAATATTCCACGATACTAAGGAGACTTCCAGACCCTTAAAAAGGTAACAGTATTAACTATTAAGCCGTAAATTGTAAGGTCACTAACAGAAAGATCTACTGGTGCACTTTCACAACTAGACTGCGTTTCAGGTACTTGAGCCACCTCGACGTCATCATCCTCTCCATTTCCGAATATGAATTCCAACGCTCTCTAAAATCAAATCCCATGCAGTTTCTGTACATAAAAATTGAAAGACCTTTCACTTACGTTTACATTCCAGCCAGAACTCTCTAGTATTGACAATGAAGCATCTTCTTCGGCGTTTGATATGGACATAAAATCAGATAGCAGTTGCCTTTTACGTGAATCAAGTTTGTTACGAATCTCATCAGCTTCGGTGCCTGATAAATTTTTGTGAAACAAAATTCCAACAATCCCAACTCAGCCTCTTACGGTTACTAACCTCTTTTGACCTCCAAACATTCCACGTCATTCAAGTCGTTCTCGCACGTCGATGGGGACATTGTTCTCTGCTTCTTGGCCACAGGAATATCAGTATCATCATTAATTTCAGTCATTTTCATTGAAAAATATGTAGTAATACCAACAAAGACCAGTTCTCAGCAACGAATGCCAACAGTTGCTGGAAAACTTCCAAAAATTCGCGCCTTTGAAAATTGAACTATTGCCAGAATTTCGGTACACGCCATACGGCTGCTGCGTGTTTTCCAATAGTGAACGTGGAGGCTCCGCCCAGTATTTCGCGCCCAACACTTGCGTGTTGTTGGATGTGTTTCTCGGTGACTCCTCCAGAATGTTGCTTTGTTTCCACTTATTTCTCTAAAAATGCTCTTCTTTTGTTGCTCGAATGTGTTTTGGTGCTTTGGTTGGAGAAGGACCGGGTCTGGAGGTTTCCATGGGGGAAATATTATTCCTGTAAAACTGGTGTTTCTTGTGGATCCATTTGCTTTCCTGCCTTCTTTCTCTTTCATATTTTCTCAGACTCTTTTCTTCCAGAGTTTCCATTTGTTTAGAGTCATCTGTTTTTGTTTAGGTATTTTAGATGGTAGCAAGAAACGGTCAGGTTACGATGACGATTCTCAAGGCTCGTTTCGGAAGTGATGTGCGAAAGACACCGCTTCATCACGGAAATGATCTCACGCTTAATGACCTGACTCTAATGCTGCAACGAATCTTTAAAATCGGTTCCGCCGAGGCGATACTGTTGAAGTATAAGGACAACGGTACGTTTTGATTCATTCATTGTCTTTTGTTCGCTTTAGCAAGTTTTGTGAATCACCGCCATTCGATTAGTGTCCAGCAGCAGTGCTGGCCTTCAAATCTAACTGTACACGTAAGGTATACGAAAAAAAGTAGCTGGAAATATGTTAAAGAAGTCAGGCCGGGGGAGTAGTTCACCTTTGCACTGTAGAACCGTTTCTGATCCAAAAGTGTCGGACAGGAAGAAAATGAAGCCTTCCGCGGCGAATAGTCTGGACACACCTGCCACAGTGTTTACGATCGTGGGCCGTTGCAGGTGTTTATGAAAGGAAGGGAGAGTTATGCATGGAATTTACATCGAATGGGGCGCATATGGTTTACGCGAGGTGTCGCCAGATGGAAGAATAGGAGTGGCCTCTACAGGAAGTAGTGAATATTGCAGTGTTGTGGGCGTAATTTTGGGGATAGCCATTGAGTGAGTAAGAGCGGCGCCGATAGCGTAATGGATAACGCAAGCGCTCGGTAAACGAGAGATGCGGGTTCGAGTCCTTCCGTGGTCTGACTTTTGCCCATAACTCTGCACTATTGTGATAGCTTTCGGATCGTGCACTGCGACGTCGAACAGCAGTTATCAATCTAAAACGTCTTTTAAACATCTAAAAGCCTTCAGCCTCGCGGTTCACTGCCATATCGGCTAAGCGGCTTAGAACATTAGGCATGTGAGGTGGCGAAAATAAACGGATAAGTGCGAGATCATTTGCCGCACGCGGGCTTGCGGAACAAGATTTTTTTTATTTGATACACCCAGCATTCTTTTCTTCAGTTCTCTGTATGCAGTTTACAGTCCGTAAAGTAGCATACATGGTACTAGTTCAAGTACTTATTTCTGGTAGATTATTGGTAGTTGAGAGAAAAGACAAAAAGGAACTGAAGGGGAATTATCAAGTACAGTCCAGCAGCGAAATCGAAACTAGCGATCGCCGCCAAAGAGAACCAGGGCGCGTGTTTTTCTCACGATATGCGCTGGTTTGGTTTTCATTGGTCATTAAACGTTCTTCGATTGACCAGCTTCGTTGAAACGACTCGCGGTGAACTTTCTTTGGCAAAGGAGAACCATCCTTCACCACGGCAATCAGTGGATGTCGCATAGAAGGGTGATGAATTATTGCTCGGTGTAGGTCTCTTCGCGGAAAAGATAAACTAGTGCGACTCATCTTTTGGGTTAATATGAAAATTATTTGATCAGAACAAACACTAAGCAAGGTACGCGGCGTTCTCAAAACCGGAACCGGTATCTTAGTGCAAAATTATCGTCGAATTATTCTTTCGGCTCCACTGCGATACGATTTACTGAGCATTCAGATAAGCAGTGGGAAACGAACCTAACTTGGATGCAGTTGCTTCACTCTGCAGCCGTTCACAGCAGCTAGAATTGATACTAACCTCTCTGTTTCGTCAACATAATTCATTTCTTTTGGTCCATCTTGTGAAATTAGCACCAGCAGACAGGCACTGACCCTTGTATGGTTTAACCTGAATGATCCGTTTTTATCTCCTGTAGGGAAAATTTACCGCGTTTAAAACAGCACAGTCAAGAAAAACACACACTGAATTGTTTCGTTTAACTCGAGTTAGTGGAATTCCGAGTTGCGCTCCTTTCCGTAGGCGATTTCGTTCGGCTATTTGCTAAGTCAAACTCTGGACAATGCTCGACAATGGTAACTTTTTGGTGTTCTGTGTGCTGTAAACAACGATAGCTAGACCTTGCGTGAGAACACGACCCACAAAGCTCACATTTCTGCTATTCAGAACGAAACTGTAGGACCAACAAGTAGTTGAAAGAGTGAGACAGATTATGAATGACGATCGCCCTTTGATGCTACGCGCATAGGAAGAGTTCTGTTTCTTGCGCATCCTTTAGATCCCTTAGGTCACCTTCATATTTCGAGAGCCGTTTGCTTGGATCCTGTGAATCAAGCGATGGCGAAGCATGAACGCGCTCCTAGCCGCATTTACACGTTGCGACGGGGAGGATCGAATCAGCCGCAAAGAGAAATGTAGTTTTATCGAAAACCGACGTATCCCGGGATCGGAAAAACTACAGAATTCGCGAAAAGGATTGGATACGTATTGATTTGAAGAATTGCAGAATTGGAGAGCTGCAGAAATAATCGACACGTATGCCTTTCTCTTGGCGGATTCTTCAATTTGCCCATTTTCTCTTGATACTTGTAGAAAATTAAAAGTCTACCCTTTTTAAGTCGATAACATTTCCCAATTTGAAGCGTTTCTTTGAAGAGGCTAGGCTTTTTTTTCTCATGCTTTTCGAGAAAGACGTCGGAACACCTCAAGTTGCATGGATGAATAAGTTAGTCAAAATGCGATGTGTCGCTTACTGTTTATACCTGAAATTCTGCCGGACGGCTTTTCCCCGAATTCGCATAAACCTTGGATTAATAGTAGCGTAGAATGCGGTGCTTTATTAACAATAAACGATAATCTTTAATGAAAGCTCTGGCCTCGTCGGTCACACTTAACGTGAGAAAAATAACGTGGCTCTTTTTGTTGGTATGTTTCTATGGACCAGTTTGATGGCTACCTGTTCAGATGGCGATTTAGTCACGTTAGCTGACGATTCTGACCTACTCCTGGCATTGCAATCCGAACAAACATTATCGATCGAGGTTTCCATTGATAATAAGGCCATCGCCGAACTGGCCGATATTCAGCAGCAGATCTCTCAGATCCAGGTATGCAGTGTTCTCGATGTCCCTCGTTTCATTTCGCGTGTGATGCACGTGAAATATCCCAACTGATTTGTCTCATAATCATTTCTGTAATTCGGGATTATTACTCCATAAATGGCGATGTGGAACGCTTGTGTTTGTGGCCACTTCACATGTTTTTTTTCAAAGATAAATTTGAAAATGTTAGGGATGAATAAAGCCTGAGGGGCGTCACACTACGACCCTTCATACTTCCATGTCTCAGAATTTACATCCAAAAAAATGAGTGTCTTCGCGTTCGCTTCATCGGACTTTCTTTCTCGTTCCGATGAATAGATACATTCTCTCCATTAATCATGGAGGTTTTTCAGGCTGATGTACAACGCCTCTCGAAAAGTCTCTCGGGTCTTAACATATCGAGCACTCGTGGAGCTTCGCAGTCGATTGCAACTTCGAAACCTTTTGAACCGGCTGAGGTTTGTCTGTGCCTTATATGGGGGTACCTGTTTTTGAGCAGTCGTTTACAAAATAACCAGAGCTAATTATAACTGAAAAGAGTTTTTTAAAGGGTCTTCCTGCTGTGGCAGGATTTGGAGATAATGTTCCGCCACTTCCGGTAAATGGCTACGATGCCGCACCGCTGTCTCCCAATTCCCCGGTACCATCTGAAAAGCATGAGCTTCCCGCTACAATCCAACCATCGCTCCAAGAACAGGTGCAACTCCCTACTTCCATCCTGCATTGAGTTGCTTCTATTTTCTTCCTGGCATGAATCTTTTCAGGTTTTGCCGGATGGTCATTCTCGACAAGAAGTGTCGGCACCGTGTGTAGAGGAGATTCCGCTAGAAGCTGGAGCCCCATCAGCGTTCGGCCCTCCGCCGACCGATTTCGCTCCACCGCCAATGGCTCCTTCCGCGGTGCAGGATCCGCATGTATCTCAGCATCAACAGCAAGGATTCGCTCCTCCACCTCCAACAGTACCATCGATTCCTTCGTTCCCTCAGGCCAACATGCCACCAGCGACTTTCTCTCCATCTCGTCTCCCAAATGAGCACACACCACCACAGCCGCCACATCAGTTCGTTCCTCCTCAACAACATAATGCACCGCCACAGATGCCGCCTACTAGCTTCGCGCCACCTCCACAGCATCAGGTAGTTTCGAGCTGTAATTCTTACAATAGAATAACTTCTGAATATTGCAGATGAGTCATGCCTTCTCTATTATTGTTTCAGAGTTTCGGTGCTCCACCGCCACAACAATTCGGATCCCAACAGCAGTTTGCTCCTCCGCCTCAGCAGCCGCCTCAGCAACCTCCCACACCGCAGTCTTCTGTGTCATCCACTCCAATCCCACAACCATCGCAGCAGTACGGCGTTGGTCCTATTCCGCAGCAGTTCGTTCCACCACAACAGGCACCACAGGCACCACCTACGCAATTCGCACCTCCTCCAAATCAGGTTTGTCTTTTTGTGTCTGGTTGAGAAACAGAGCCCTTACACCTTCACTAGGATGGAACAAGTATACTTTTGTACCGTTTTCGAACCAGTGCCCGAATGACGGCTTCCGAAACTAAAAAAGAGGTGTCTTGATCAAAATTTGTCGTCTTACCTGTCCTTTGTCGAATAGACAGAACTGAATTAGGGAGCTTTTATGGCGACTTTTTAGATCCAAGATCTCTCCCTTCATTTTAGGTGCGTCTCATCGTGTTCACTGAGTACTTTTCTGCGCAGTTCTCGCCATTGCTTCTCATTGCTTACGATTTGCACATCTTGTCAGTCCCAAAATGACGGATTTACCCGAACTTTCTGTCTGTTGCACTGGCGAGACCTTTCACTGTAGATCGAGCTTAACGTTTCCAATGGATCCAAGGTTGCGAAAAATCATGAGCGGGTGAGCTTTTCAAGGAGAGGGATTTCGGTTAGAGGAGTCGCTCATGCGTTAAAAGTTCAGGTGACAGAATATCGTGCAGTTGAGAGAGCGCAGAGAGAAGCAGGAAACTGAAGCAGTTAGAGGAACACAGTTCATCTATTTGAAAACTGGCCTAAAAGACTTTCCCTTGTTCCTTTTGTCAATTACAATTCCTTTTTACTGTTATTCTGCAAAAAGTGACCATCATGGTTTTTGGCACAGGTCGCTTGAGAAAAGGGTATTTTTGCCAGGCCTGGGAGCAAACGGACCGGAGAGAATAATCCTATTTGTTTCGGCGCATTTCGGCTTGTTGGAGCACGAGATGGTACTTATTGTTAGCGAAGCTAGCTCAGGCCACCTTTTGAATCCCTGTTACCGAAATGAGCTCAGGCCACCTTTTGAATCCCTGTTACCGAAGTGGTTCACTTGTACCATTTCGTAGTTTCACAGGAGTTCAAGACTTCATTGAAGACCTTTTGATCAACATGGAGTGGCGAAACGAACTAGCAAATTGCAAAATGTCCCTCTCGAGCCGGACGGTTTCTCAATTTTTTGTTCGAGAAGGGAAGTTGCGCATTACAGTAATGGCTGTTTTATGCAGACAGTAAGCACAGTTCTCGCGATTGAGCGTCATGGATATTTGCTTTTATCATGAACCACTAGCTGATAAGTGATCCCAGAAAGAAAAAAAAGGCAGGGAGCGACATCTTTAGATAACATTAAGGAGAATCGCTCCCTGGTAGTCACTCCGCTCTACTGGTCTTCTGTGCAACCTCTGGCCTCAAAATCGCGTTCGCATCTCCAATAGTGACTATATCCAATGCAAAGGAAGAGTACGAAAAACAACAAAAACGCCCGACGCAAAACATGTCATGAGAAAGGAAATTTTCGAGAACTTAGTTACTAATTTCTTAGGTTAGCATCACTGGTGATTCGAGACACGTCTTTGCGAGATGGATTGCTGTTGACTTTATGGGCTTCTAGTGAAGAAGATATACTAAAGGAGGGTAGAATTACTTATGAGCACCGAGCGCCGATCGGCAAGAAATGGGCATGCGGGTTCGATTTATGTCACTGCAAACAACAACTGAGCGCCCTGCGACAGGTGAAAAGAGGATGTTCGTTGGGTGGGTGGTCAACTGAGCGGCTGTCAGAACTAGGGCTTTCGACGGCTGTAGTACCCTCCTCGCTCGCTGCAGACAGTCGCAGAAGGTGGGACATTTTCTTAGCTTTGGACGGTACTAATTGCACAATTAAGCGACGACCATCGAGCGAGGAGACTGTCTTTCAATCCTCATAACAGATTTTGCCTATAATTTTTGGATCCGGCTTCCACTCTGAAAATGAGGAATCTAATGTGAGACATTGAAGTAAAAATGCTTGACAAGGATTGAAATGAAAAGTTTAATTTTTTTTGGTGGGAGCTCTCTCTCGTCATTGCATTTATCTTTCTGGAAATTTCCTTTGCTCCTGCGGAGCGGCTGCTATAAAAGGCAATAATGCCATGCCTATAATATACACTGGCCTAACATGGCTTCTCCTGGATGATATTTTAGTATTTTTAAATAATGTTCAAGCTGTGATTGTAGTTGGAAAGTACTGTGCGCAGTTCCCATTGGAAACACACTCGTGGAGCAATTATAGGGTGCACTGTTGTCTTATTTCAATACATGTTTTGGAAATCTTTTGCGGAGAATATTTGCAAAAGGCGCTATTATTGAGATCGTTCCATAGGTTAATTGAGTATTTCAGGGCTTTGGACATCTTCCACCGCAAAACCAACCTCCGCAACAGCCTGCATTCGCACCGCCGATGTCAGGTTTCAACCAGCCACCATTCGGCCAGGCACCGCCATCGGAACCAGCACCGCCAGCCGGAGGAGTTCCACCATCGTTCGCTCCTCCACCACAGATGGGTGGCTTTGCGCCGCCTCCAATGGGTGGTCCGTCGGGCATACCCGGAGGTAATCCGTTTGCCCGAGGCCCAGGAGGTCCAGGAGCTTATCGCAGTTCACCCTATCATCAGTGAAGAAACAGAGAAAATAATGTAATTAAAATAATTTATTCTCGTCTGTTGACATTGTGATTACTCGTCTTTGCGTAGATGATTGTTAACTGTTGTAAGGCATATCGATCGGATGGCTAGTGGAAATACGAGCGAATTTTATTTGACTATATATTTCTCCCTTTTTATTCCACTCTTCTATTGTGTATCTGATGTCAGCAAGGTCGGTTCGTTGGTGTAAACTTACTATACAGTAAAATTTCTAGTGCTTCTCATTCATCAAGCTACATTTCTGTTCAATTGGAGCTATAACAATTTTTGGTGATTTCATGGAGTAGGAACTTCTTGTGGTAGCTGGAAGTTCGACCTCTTAGTCTGTGTCCTTTTCAGGGCGGATTTTTCGCGGAAAGCTCTGCTCAAGGATCGAAAAGAAATTGGAACGATGGAAGAGAGAGGTGGCCAACGCGAACTCAGGCTTAACATCAAAGAGACGACCACGGTCATGTGTACCACGAAACTACTTCGTCAGTCGTGCTAAACGGAACACTTTTCTGCATGGTTACAAAGTTCTCTTACAGCTGATCTGCGCTAGGGGCGGATGGAGATGCCAAGGAGATGTCACTTCGGTCGCGAGACCAGTCTATACATATGGAGTGAGACGAGGAGTCGTAGCAGAACAACCGTAACCACCAGGAACTCTGAAATGAAGCTGAGACAGGTCCTTACTAACGGGCGGCGCTTTACTATCGTACTTTTTAGCTGAGAAATCAGTACATCCCCCATCCTTGTGAAAAGGGCTACCATATCCAAAGAAAGCGTGGAAACATCAAGCGAACACAGGATCCGCCTTCAAATTGGTCACCGCCTGTCAGTATCTGAGCCGCATCACCTACCATTTCTATTTCTATTTATTGCATGTACGCTTTATACATGAGGTAGACATAACTGTAAAATCACAACCGTTGAAAGAAAAGGAGACAAACACAAACTGACAATAAAGGTGGGACAGACAACTAGATAAAACGTGGTAGACAGACAACTAGATAAAACGTGATAAAACAACAACAAAATGAAGTAAACGGATTCAGGATTGCTGATCAGCCTCCAAGAAAGCTATAATCAGGTCTGGAGAAAATGAAGTAGCCCGTCTTCAAACGTAGAACTTG